CATAGCTTTCTGTTTAGCTTATGAATCTCATTGATGAATTTTGCAGAAGAGCTGATCGCTGATAAGGGCATCCTTGTTGCTGATGAGTCAACTGGCACAATTGTAGTACCATAACTAGCTGCTTGTTTTTAGTGACATCAAAATCCCTTCTGTCTAGGGAAGCAAAAGACTTGCTGACGTATGTATTATCAAGCTTTCTGTTTCCAAGTTTGTGTTTCAGTATGTTTTTGTGTCTAATTTTTTCTTTTTTTTTTGAACATAAATGGATATATATATATTTTCACTTTAACTGGCAATCTTTACATTGGCTCCTGCTTTCTATACATTGTCAAGCAATAACCGTGCTATGATTCTATTTTTTACAAAAAAGCCTTGTCTGAAGGCTTAAGCTTACTTCTGTAGGTTTTCAATTTCCACAATAGCTCCTGCTTGATCATGTCTGCACGACTTTGAACATCTCTGTGTCTACTTTATTCTTAAGATAGCTAAAGATTCGTTTCTGGGATGGAGTTTTCAGCTGTGATTTTCTGTGCCTTTTTCTCATTGGCTGCATGTTTTAATATGCATAATTTAAAGCATTAACATTTGACAACGATTGGCCATTTTGATGGATTTTTCTTCTTCCTGCTTCTCTTAAGTTTTTTGAAAGTTTAAATTCTAAGGAAAAGTACCCGGACTTTTTTTTTTTTTTTTGGGTGAGCTGATTTTTTTTTTTTTTTTTTGTTGGTTTGGGTTTCTTTATCTATGTCTCAGTCGATTCCATTCTGGTTCTGTCTAGTTTTTACCTCTATTTCCAAATGGTTTTCATTTCGTTACTTTCTTAAACTATTTACTTATATTTAAACCAGCCAGGTGTTTCCTTCATTTGTGTACTCTGTTCTCTTTTTGGTTTTTTGTTCTCCATTTTATTCTGTTTGAAGTGCAATCTGTTAGTGGTTCATGATATGCTGGAATAATTTAGTCAGCCCTAGAATTCAGACAGGGAGATCACGTTTGTATTGATCCTTTAGTTAGTTGCTGACCACAATAAGATTGCAAATTGGTTTTGCCTTTTTCCTTTTCTGTTACTTAATGCAGTTAGTGCAACTAGTTTATTTGGACTTGCTGACATGTATGTTTATCTGTGTTCGTTTTGTTTGCTGCAACCGTAATGTGCAAAAGAAAAGTAGCTACATTTGCTACTTTCTTCCTGTTATAAAATAGAACCTGATATTTTATCTGTGTTCGTGTTTGAACATGATGTGTAACTTGTAATGTGTTTTTTGTTTGATGTTGATTTGGCGCTGATCTTTTCCGGTTGAATCATGCATGATGAAATGGTCCATGTAATAATAGATGAATGGAAATTAGTTGGGCACAGAGGGAGTGTCAGAGTGAGGAAAAATTAGTTGGGGTTGATTCACGCTGGTTTTGCATCCTTGGTTGCTTGGTTTTTTAGTTTCTTTTTGCCTCGTTCATTGGTTTTAGGGCTGTGCAATAAAACCACGGGTTCGGGTCGCACTGCAGATCCGATCCGATCCGAACCGCGGTTTTCGGTGCGGTTCGGGACGGTTATATTATTCTACGGAACGGATCGGTTTCGGATCAGACGGATTATCTTTCTATGGTTAAAAACAAAAGAAGCCCTTCTTTCCCAGAAAGCCTTGTGAGCTTCGGTTTTGGAATCCCACGACAAAATCCCTTCAATCTTTTCATAAAGAAATCAAAAATCAAATCCACCTGCATTCTGGGATTCGTAACCAAACATTAATTTCTCGAAACTCGATTGATTTCTTGACTTTCGATCGAAACACGTAAACCTTTCCGTCGAAACCTCTTCCGCCTCAACTCCCCTCCATCACCGCTGAGACAGAATTGCGCACTCCTCAACGGCCCTCCATCGCCGCCTCAACCCACATCGTTTTGTCATCGTCCGTCGCCGTCCACAGCTGCTTTTGAGGTAAACATCCTACTTTGCTGTTATTTTTTGTTTTTGAGGGGTTTGGGATATGGGTTCTTCTCCTTTGGTATGTTCTTGTATTTATGGTAAACATCCTAATTTGCTTACAAATTTGCTTATGACGTTTTGCATTAGGGTTTCGAGAGGAAATTTTTTTTTTTTTGAAAATGGGGAATTTTTTTAATTGAATGAGATGGGTTTTTGGTAATCATTTTTCTGTTTGGTAAGCTTTTTGCAGAGTTTTTGGGTTGGCTTTTCTTTTTTTTTTTTTCTGGTCCCCTTATTAGGTAACTAGTGTTTCAATTTGAATTTGTTAGTGGGGGGTTAGATTGATTAGAGTTTCGGATGGATTGATTGTATGGGATTGAAGCTTTCCGGTTCGAAATTGGGCTTTGATCTTGGCCTATTATTGGTGTAAAGTCAACTCAATCAAAATGCAATCTTAATTTCAATGTTTTGACATTGAATTAGTACTATATGTTCCATTGCCTCTTTATTCTTGAACTCCTTTATTGAAGAAATTATTGAAGAAATTTCTTTCTTTCGTTCCTAATCACATAAGCAACTTCTTCAACAAAGGAGTTCAAGAATAAAGAGGCAATGGAACATATAGTACTAATTCAATGTCAAAACATTGAAATTAAGATTGCACTTTGATTGAGTTGACTTTACACCAATAATAGGCCAAGATCAAAGCCCAATTTCGAACCGGAAAGCTTCAATCCCATACAATCAATCCATCCGAAACTCTAATCAATCTAACCCCCCACTAACAAATTCAAATTGAAACACTAATTACCTAATAAGGGGACCAGAAAAAAAAAAAAAAAGAGAAAAGCCAACCCAAAAACTCTGCAAAAAGCTTACCAAACAGAAAAATGATTACCAAAAACCCATCTCATTCAATTAAAAAAATTCCCCATTTTCAAAAAAAAAAATTCCCTCTCGAAACCCAAATGCAAAACGTCATAAGCAAATTTGTAAGCAAATTAGGATGTTTACCATAAATACAAGAACATACCAAAGGAGAAGAACCCATATCCCAAACCCCTCAAAAACAAAAAATAACAGCAAAGTAGGATGTTTACCTCAAAAGCAGCTGTGGACGGCGACGGACGATGACAAAACGATGTGGGTTGAGGCGGCGATGGAGGGCCGTTGAGGAGTGCGCAATTCTGTCTCAGCGGTGATGGAGGGGAGTTGAGGCGGAAGAGGTTTCGACGGAAAGGTTTACAGGTTTCGATCAAAGTCAAGAAATCAATCGAGTTTCGAGAAATTAATGTTTGGTTACGAATCCCAGAATGCAGGTGGATTTGATTTTTGATTTCTTTATGAAAAGATTGAAGGGATTTTGTCGTGGGATTCCAAAACCGAAGCTCACAAGGCTTTCTGGGAAAGAAGGGCTTCTTTTGTTTTTAACCATAGAAAGATAATCCGTCTGATCCGTAACCGATCCGTTCCATAGAATAATATAACCGTCCCGAACCGCACTGAAAACCGCGGTTCGGATCGGATCGGATCTGCAGTGCGACCCGAACCCGCGATTTTATTGCACAGCCCTAATGCGCCTTTTTGGTGGAGATTTGAAATTTACTTCTTTTTTTTTTTTTTTTAAGTTTTCGATTTTATGGATCTGTTTTTATGCAATAGAAAACTTCCGTCAATTTCATTTCAATAATATCCGGCCCATTAAATACCCATTGGGATCCCAATAATTGTACTTCATGGGATTCCAAAGGGTGTTGGGCTATCCATTACTCAATTCCTACCCAAACCCAAACTGTATGTAAAATAAATGGGTAATTAAAATCTCAAACTCAATAATATCTCGTCCATTAAATATCTGGCCAATATCCGCTTTACCCGCCCAATTGCCAGCTTGAATCAGGAGTAAGAAAATAGAATTACATTTTAGATTGACAATTGTGAAAACTATCATTTTAAAATTTTGTCTTTTTATCATTAATTATCATAATTTACTATATATATATATTCTCAACTATATTACCTTTGACCAGCTAATGCAATTAATAACAACTACAATCTTATATTCTCAAGTTACTAAAAAAGTTGAGTTCCCTAGTGCTCTAAACTCAATATAGGCCTTAGAAATCAATTGTCGTGTTCACAATATTCATCCACTAAAACAACAAACATGAAAACTCTTCTCTCAATACTAATTCTTTCATTTTGTCTTCTTCAGCCTCCAAAAGTGGAGGGAGAGTTCAAGATGCATCATGTGATAATCAAAAATGGAATATGTGATTCTCTTCCGCTCTCATTTCATTGTTATGCTAACAAAGGTGATCTTGGTTTTTATGTTCGCAAATGGAATGAAGGTTACAGGTTTCAGTTTGATATAGACATTGCTCCAACTTTTTGGTGCTACTTTTGGTGGAGCGGAAAAAATGCGACTTTTGAAATATTCAATATGGATTTATTTCATAACTATTGCTGGAATCGTACTACGAGGACGTGTTTTTGGAAGGCTCAAATAGATGGATTTTATATTGGCAGCAGAGACAATGCAGAACTTTTGCACTTTATGCATGGTTGGGATTTTTAATTCATGTTTCGCATATGAATCCTCCCCAATTTGGGATCTATTTATATATGAATAATATTTTACAAGGTTTAAATTAATTTAATTTTTTCGTCTATTTTAATTACCATTTACTATTTTTACTCGTTGTTGTTACATTGAAAAGTTTAACTATTCTAAGCAACAAAATGGTTTATTCGCCAATAAAAGAATATGGAGAAAACAATTCTATTAAACAATTAGAGACTAAAAATATAAAATATCCTTAAAACTGAACTTGTTATTTTGGATTTGGACAAAACTCACTTTTGATTACTGATGTCTGGCCTAATTGCACATTCATGTCACCATAAGTAATTAATAGACAGCTTTGATCACCATTTATTTTTTCATTCAACACTTTTGGATATATTGACCAAAAGTAAATCAGAGGTCAAGGGGGTAATTATCCTTATAGAAATGTCGGAATGGTGTTAATTGTTAATGGTTGGGATATAACTAAGGGGGAGTTTTTGTAAATTTTCCCAGAAGAAAAAGGGGCTGCATTCCAATTGGGTCTATTTGAGTTTACAAGAAGATCTCGACCGCTAATTTATGTGGTTCGGGCCTGTAGCCGGCCGGTCCAGACCAAAAAAATACCACACAGCTGGAAAGACTGAAGAACATAACCACCACAAAGCGCAAAAAAGAAAAAAAAAAACACCACAAAGCGGATAGAATCATCCTTCTCTTCAGTTCATCATCCACTGTCTTTGGGAGTCCATGGCTGCCATGGCAAGCCAACTATACTACACTTCTCCTGCAAAATTCCCACTGCCAAAAGGACCCTCAACTCAAAGGGCTCCTTTTTTGAGACAATCCCAGAGAATTAGGAGGAATTCGTCACCATCAACAACAAAGATAGTAGCTTCGGGAGGAAAAGGGATTGATTTGTTGGGGGATTTTGGAGCCAGAGACCCTTTTCCAGCTGAGATTGAGAGCAATTTCGGTGAAAAAGTTATAGGGAATTTCGGTACCGAACACAAGATTTTGATCCCAAATGCCACCGCCCTGTCTCTTTCTCAACAGAGCTGCACCCCCATTTCTCCCCAACAGCAACCTATGTCCGAGGAAGACGCCAAGCAGCTCTTGTTCAAGGTGAGAAACACGTACTCTGTTTTACCTAACTGCTTTTATTTACTAAGAATTCTCGAGTTCATTGTTATGAGTTTTTTTTTTTAAGCAAATTAATGAATGAGTTCTGGACTAATTGCAGGTTGTGGGATGGAGATTGATAAATGAAGAAGGTGGACTTAAGCTCCAATGCCTGTGGAAATTGAGGGATTTCCATTCTGGGATTGAACTCATCAACAGGATACACAAAGCTGTAGAAGATACTGGCCATTTCCCTAACCTTCATCTTGAACAGCCTAATCAACTCCGAGCCGAGCTTTGGACTTCATCCATTGGTATGTATTTGTGGTTCTATGTTATTAGGCAATATTTTCTATTGAATGTGCATATTTCTCTAGTTGCTTTCTTAAGTACTCCCTTCCTCAGGAAAATAGTCCAAATTGTAAATTGTAAATTGTAAATTCTGCTAAAAATTTTGTGGGACAGAGGGAGCATTCAGTTGAAGTAAGAGAAAATTGGTTTCCTTGTTAGGTGCTAAGATACTCAGTATTAAGATTTTTTTATTGAACTAGAAAAAATGAACAGAAACAATGCAATCATGAAAGATAGACCTTACCGAGAATCAAAGGAAGAATCTGATACTTCCTCTTTCACGGATATTACTGCTTGAAAGGTAATAATGTATCAAATGATTCTGTTGAACTGCATATACCATTTGAAAGAGAGCAAATCATGGAAGCTTGGACCATTAATCCCATATAAGCTTGCTATTGAGGGAGGGGTTAAACTTGAAACTGTATGTTGGTTGCCTTTATTTTCCTTTATTTTATTTATTTTTTCTTTTTCCTATGCTTGAGGTCTGCATAGGTGCATGCAAAAGGGATGTGAAATTTTTTCTTCCTGTATCCCTTGAATTAGATAGATAACCTGAATTCCTGCTAGCAAGAGTCCAGAATGACTTCATGTGCTTTAACCTCTGGCCTCAAAGTACATCTCAATAGAGTAAATACCAGATGAAAGGGAAAGAGATTGAATGGGTTATGAGAATCATAAATACTAGATCAACTGTGCTCTATGTTTTCAATCCTGGTTGATATTTTCATTGTACCGACCTACTTCATTTTAGCTTTAAACCTCACCTTATGCCGAAGAAATTTGGTTCATCTGTATTTCATTTTCTTTTCCTTTTAATGAATTTGCAGTTTAAGTTAATATTTGAAATTGCAGGAGGTTTGAGCTTGAACGATTTCATTGTTGCTGCTAAGATAGATGAGGTTAAATCATCGGACCTAATTCCCAGAAAGAGAGTTTGGGCATAAATGGAAAGCCTGATACATCGTGCACATGAACCAGAACTGAAGCTGTATGGAGGATGTCATATGCGGACAGTGTTAGTAATACTCCAAGTGTTGATATGACAGATTTACTAATGCTGCCAGGTTTGATAAATGTCAGCTAACATATTACAAGTGATGATTTTTTTGTCCAAAGACTAGCTCTCTGTATGCAGCATGATTTGTTTGTTCAAAGATAGCTGTGTATGCACTATGCAACAATCTCTATTCGGGTAATACAAAGATCGGTTGTGATTTCCTTTTCTCCATGCCATTAATTTCATTGTCGGGTAATGTCTACTGATGCTTTTATATGTTACCGTATCAAGGCATGAATCGCTGATGGTTCATTGACTGTTGCTTCAGACTTCTTTAAACGGAATAGGTTTGAGCTAATGAACAAGGACCGAACCATCACGTTCCCAAGGCCGATCAATGGTATCAAGAAAAAGAAAGTTCAGGTCCAACTTGGTTCAATCCAAGCTGAATCCCAATACGTGCTTATCTGATTTAAATTCTGCAACTCGTGATGACTTCCCGCGGAATGATATCTCTTGGTGTACAAAGAATAATAGACCAACTCGTCTTTGAAGAACTTGGGGAAATAGATTCTGTTCGCCTCATCTGGTCTTTCTACAAGAAAAGCCATTGATGACGGCCAGCTCAAATATAAACAATAGCCATCCAAAGAATCAATGTCTTCCCAGTATTTCTCATCATCCTTTAGCTTGGAAACTCCCACCCATGACCATTTCCCTTTCGTCATCACCCACAAGTACAGAAAAAAGCTGTCCGCCGCACTCAGTTAAAAAGTTCCATCTAAATTTTACATCAGGATATACGAGGCCCTTTAGAACTTCCCACTGGAATATAGATTCCTCGTCTTCAAAAATTTTACCACGCCCAAGCATCCCATTGTCCCCCAAATGATAACAAACATCTCGCAACACCACTGGACTATTGCAACCTTGGCTAAGAAATTGTTGCAGATCACTTCCTTCTTTTCCCACCACAAATGTCCACCATTTTGCTTCTCCTGGTTTTGAAACATGTCTAACAAAGTGTGACTTTCCCCTGGTTCTCATCCGCGACATTGCCAAGATTGAACAATCAGGAGAAGAAGGTTTTCTTAGGAAGGTGAAGTTTAAAACCCCATACCTCGATTGTGGCCTACGTCCTGCTAAGACAACTTGCATTGTCAACGGGTTAAAGAAAGCGTACTCAGACTTGTGTTGTAGGAGTAGCCAACCATCTCTAGAACAACGAATATTATGCTCTTTTAGGGCCTCGGGAACTTTGAAGGAGAGTTTATGATTAAGGTTGGAATCGACTATATTGTAAACACCATGAAACCTATCCTTGTATATCAAACAGGGAGGGAAGGAATTCATCCTGCTTCGAATAGTGCTGGAGGAGCCAACTTTATTAACACAGCGAAAATGAATGTAATCGACAAAAGATAGTTTTCCAGCAATCCAACCTAGTGCATCGGATGATAGGTTGCACAATAAGGAGTTTCCATCCGTGGAGCAGATTCTGATAATCCATTAATCTTCGGTATCATCATCAGCCTCTTACTTATTGTCCTGTTCTCCTAGGAATATGCCAGACTCTTCCGTTTCCGGTATACCAAGGGATCCACCATGCCCCTATTTAGTTTGCCGTTGCAATTAACATTCTCATCATCGGGCATAATCCAACACGAAATCCACGGTTCTTGTAACTTGGTGGGACAGAGTGAGAGAGATGTTACTCTTTGATCCTCAACCCTGTAGGAGAACAAGGTCTGATCATTCTCGAAAGTGAAATGTATGTAACTCCATTATTTGTTGGACTCAACCTCGCCACGGCTGCTGCTATATAGGGCGTATGTATCGCACAAAAAAACCGCCCCACCATTTAAACTTGTGCTTCCTTCCCAAGCATTAGTAGAGAATTTGAATATGTAAATCGATATTGACAGTGGTTCTCGGTATAGATTGGAAGAACAAGGGAACATTAAAATTAGACAAAGGTGTTGATCCCCTAAAGACACCAAGTAATTTGTATACTAACTTGCTAGGTAATGGTCATGGAGAGAAGAACGTATAGCAAGGTGCGGTGCTGGACCTGGTGGCATTATTAAACGCATTTCGCAATGATTGGTGTCATCAATTTGAATGTGCACTGCATCTGAAGGGCAAGAGGAGGTGGCATAGATTTTACCGCGGAAGCTGACAGGACTGAAGAGGGAATACCGTGGGTTGAGAGGCGTACCAGTTTGAGCTTCAATGGTTTGAGCATAGTGGAATTCGGTCCATCCCAGGTCACCCGCGGGACAATATAAGATCATATGAATCCCAGAAACAAACACAAGTACTAAAAGCCGTCCCGGAAACCACCACCGATCCTTGATGAATACTAATACTACCTCGCAGATCCAATCTCAGGCGGGGTAGCCTAATGGAGTCTCCGGATGTCGGATTCCACAGAAACAAGAGTTGCTCGCTACCGGGCTCTAGGTTATGTTGATGGAGTAAAAGTAACCATTTGCCGTATGGGGAAGAATGCAAAACTGTGGATGTCGTGAAATTCAGGGATACTCTTGAAGATTACCTCGGAAGACGATATGTCACAAAAGGTTTGATCTTTGTGGCCTTCACCGTGAAGATATACTAACCAAGGATCAGCATACCTTCCGGTCGCCGGCGGGAATTGATGCTCAAAGGGTCTGCTCATGCTAGAGTTATTGGAAGATCTCTGAGTAAACCCTATTCCGATTGGGATTCGATGGAGCGAGATTACCACACTCCGACTCCGATTCGGAGGACCAGGACAGATTAGTCCCCAACTTGGACCGTTTGTTTGAACTTTGAACGCCGAGAGACCAAAAAGCTGGGCTAGGTTGCCCTTTCACTCAGATGGCGAGGCTTATATAGGACTAAATTAACCACTTCCAACTTTGAATTACAAATTTGAAATCAAGGTAATTCTAACTCTCGCATTATACCAAAAATAATCTCTAAATCCTTACATGTAGTCTTTTTTTCTTTTTTTAAGAAACAATTTATAAATTAACTGAAATCAACCAGCACTGAAAGATGAGACGATCCAACCAGATGGTGTGTCATAGTTTAATAACACATCTAGCGTATGAGCTATTTTCCCGTCTAAAAAATATCATATCATACAATTTGGATTTTCACTTTTAATATAATTCAACCTAAAAATTCAAATTAGACATTCATTTTGGAATGACGAATATACGAAATATACTTGCCATTTCTTAAATCCCCTCCGCTTATAAACTTGAATCCATGATCTACTTCCTCCACCCACCCTCACGGCCTCACCAGCTCACCTAGTGGTTGTTCATTGATTGATAGTCTTGATGAACACTCGATATGGCGAATACAATTTGTTGCTATAATCTTATGAGGAGTCATCAACGTTTGAATGTGTTGAAGCTGATTTTTTTTACCGGCTGGAAATTTTATTCTAGTTCCGTGAATTTTTATGGCGGTTATTATAATCATCTTGAAATTCCACTTTGCCTTATGTTTCTCAAATCAGAAGAAATACGAAGAAAAAGATAAACAATTTTATTAATAAATTATAATCATTAATGGTTAACAGGTATCTCAAAACAGAGAGAAGGACGCTATGAGAAAAATAAATAAACAATTTCTCTATGATAAATTTGTGAAGACTACAAGCCAAACACCACCAAGATTTACCTGGGAACCTGCAAGGAAGAAAATCACAGATGAATCCATCAGAAATTGACTGTGTCAAGGTTAAAAATTGATCAATTATAGCTAGACCATATCAAAATGTGCCCAGCTAAAATGTGTAAACGAACGAACCAAATTCTTGTAGTAATGTTTTACTTGCACATAATTGAGTATTGAATACGAAGTCTGACCTCTGGATTTGCCACATAGCAGAAGTTTGTCCTCTACCAAAACTGCATCAAGAAGACGAACTTTAATAATCTTAAAACAGAGGAAACAAATCATTAAGCACACCAAATTCACTATAATATCCACGAAATCCATTATTAGAATGATTTAGTAATAAGCGCTCCACATCTCAAGCACTTCCAATACTTTTAACCTATAATCAGCCTCTGATGATGACATTTATGTTTCCCAATAACCAGCCTAAACCTGTACTGTTTCTCGAGATCCAAATGTCACCTCCAAGACAGAATAAATCAATGCATGATGACATTTCTTCTAACTAAATATTATTCCCTCCATTTCAAAATGTAAGTCTTTTTAGACTTGGCACATAAATTAAGGAGACAATCATCCAATATTTAATTTATGTGTTAAATATTTTTTTACTCCTCACTAATTACATTGAAACTATAAATAAGACTAAATAAAAATATATTAGCATCATTTATTGAGGGTAAATTTAAAAAAATAGTTATTAATATGCCTAGAATTTGAAAACATAGTTATTAATATGCCTAGAATTTGTAAAACGACTTACATTTTGAAAAATCTCTCCGAGCTTAAAACGACCTATATTTTGAAATGTAGGGAGTAAAACGGTTGGAATTCTAACATGGAGATATAACCTGAAAATACTCGTCAATTCTCATCAATACCAAGAAGAGATTAATATCTCTTTTTTCCAGATAAACAAACATCAAAATTATAGTCGAAATCATACCTTTCGGGACCAAAATCGAAGCCCAAAGCACACCTCATTCTTACAAATCCTTCAAAAAAAAAACTAACATCTTTGCGACTTACCGGTGAACAGAGTAAAAGAAGAAACCAAAAAAATAAAAGGAAGTAGACCATCAAAGAATCACGTAGTTTCATTTCACGAAAGAAAAACAGGGTAAAAAAAAAAAAACAAAAAAAAACAGCTGATGGATTGGGCATCAACGCAAGAAACCAAGAACGCATTCATACATAGACCAACGCAAGACCCAACTCAAAACAGAGGAAGTAGAAGACAAAGAACCACAAAAAAATTAGATAAAAAGATGAATCACGAAGAACCAAGAAGTTGGCCCAGAGAACTGTCGGATTATCTCCGGGCATCTATAGTTTCTGAGCAATCTCGCGAAACAGAGGAAGAAAGACGACAAGATCAGAGAAAGAAAAGTTTTTTGTTTTTTCTTTTTTTTGAAGTTTTTACGACCAAATCATCTATTTATTCAGAGTATAAGTAAATCTCTAATCCTATATCTCTATGGTAAAGGATAGGTTAGTCCCGTAACTCTAATAATAAGTTAAATAAATGTAATCCTATATCTATGATAAACTAAAGTAAATGTCTTCCCATATATATAAGTAAAATAAGGAAAATGGTTTTTGAAATTATTGTCTGATGTAATTTTTTTTTTTAATTTTCTTGTACAAATTGTTAAAAAAATGACAAGAGATTCAAAATGCTTAGCGAGTTTTTTCTCTTTATTATGGATGTGTTTTGCAAGATTAAGTTCTTACACTAATAAAAAAGGTGCACCTTGGCATCTATTTATAAAGTATAATTAAAGTTAAATATAATTTAATTTTTATCTTTTTATGAATAAAACTAGAAGATAAAAAATGATGAAAAAGAAAATTTTCTGAACGAGACGGTGATAGGAATGAGTTAAGCTGGTTAAATGAATGATTATGGGTCTGAAGCATACAATGTAAACTTATCATTTGTTTGGAAAGTGATTCCAAATTAGACTACACAGCAACTAAATGAGATAATTTAACTATATTTTTCGAAATAATCGTCCAAACGTCAAAGCGAATATTATTGTCTCAGTAGGTGTATATTGTCATTATAACTCAAGCTTGCAATTTAGGTTATGATGAACTCCTAGTATTTTATGCATATTGATTTAGCAATTACACAAGAGACCAATTAAGGATCTGGATCATTCATTCTCGAAAAGCCATTTTACCAGTCCAATCCTGAGCTGGAAAGCCTTTCAATTCATCCGCAAAATCTAAAAGCTTCTAAATCAGGAAGAACAAAAACTAAGGAACCATTTGAGCAATTAGTTCCTCAGCTCCACATTCTCTAATCCCAATCTCAACGAGATTCTGAGCTGAAGAGTTCAACACATCACAACATTGTCTTCTTGAAGCCTGCAACTGTAACCAGTAGACGCCCCATTAAGATGACACTTGCTTAACAATTGTAATACTAATAACATAGGGCACCTGTATCTTTTATTAACTACATTATTTCATGAACTATTTCACTGTGCGAGTTCATTTTCTGTTCATTTACTCAGGCAATATTGTAGGCAGGGGAAGCGGTTCCGATAAACTGTTACCTGTCTAATGTCAAGGTCTAACTTCTTTGAGAAGACTCTGATTTCATCTTTCTTCTTGTTGTTGGTACAATTACTACTGTTACTGTCCATGATCTTGTAGATGCTCGTGATTCCATCTCTACCGGCGAAGGCACTGTCGAAAAAGAAAACAGCCGGCCTGGAACATGAATCAGGGTGAGATCTCTGTGCATTAATGATGTGATTATTTTGTCCCTTCTTCCAGGCCCTGAAAGTTTCCTGGGCACGCACAACATCAGGGAGAAGGATATTACTTTCCATCAGTTGGATTGCATATCCCCAAGACACTGAAATCGTCCGCGACAACAACCGATCATAGCAGACAGTTTGTTGCAAAATCCTCTCAGAATCAACTTTTGCTGCATCGAACAAGTGTCGCAGAGCACCTAAAGTCGTCTTGTTTGGAAAAATCGGATCTATTGCGTCCAAATGATGAAGAGTAGCCAATGGCTTCACGGGATGCACAGTTAACAGCCCGAAAATGCTTCCCCTGACATCCATCTGACTCACGAGTTTCAAGTTCAGATTCATCAGATGAACTGAACTCTAATAAAGACATAGAAAACCCAAAGAGATATACAAAAACGTACTATACTTGCCTGATGAAATCCAGGTTCATGTGTCAAAGAAACTCCGAGTTCTGTCAAACAGGAATAAATCCTTGAATCGCTGCCATAGAGATGATGGTATCTTTCCAAACAAGAGTCGAGCACTTTCGCCAAGACTTTAGCCAGGGGATAGCTTATAGCAAAACCAGCTCCGCCAAACGCCATTTCAAAAGAAAAAGCCTTATTCGCTTCGAAATTTTCAGAATTAGTCCCTATGTAATACCACAGGCCATGATCATACTTTCTGAGGGTCTTCACCAGATTCTCGGGAAAGAAAACCGTATCATCATCTCCAAACACAAACCATCTCACATTGCTGTAGTTCAAGGCCACAGTTTCCGATACAACTCTGGCTACACGAATCGCTGACCTTAGACCGCCCTTAAACGTGTATGGAAATCGGGAGGTGTCCTCAGAAACGCATAAAGGAGTTAGAGAAACACGATCTTTTTCTAACGATAACGATGTATTTGGTGGCATCTGTTCAAGGAAAACGCATCCCTTCATCACTCCTGGCTTCCACCAGAGCCTAACATATTCTTTCCTTCTCAACCACGATGTTCTAGTGGAGGCAATCCCAAAAACAATGTGTTCAAGTGAGGTTGTGGACGATAAATTTTGTAGTGCAGTGGCTGAAAGATGCAACTGATTTGCATCTGGAACAAGGACTAATGACAGGAGGAGATAAATACCGAAAATCGAACAAGATATTACTATGAAATTTACAATCCTAGATGGGAGATGATGGGACGAAGGATTTTCCTTAAAATATTTCATTCTCACAGTATTCACGGAAATTTCAAAGGTCCTGAACAGGATAGTTGTAACTTATATAAAATCCAGAAGTTATAAAAGGTGGAAAAGGTTCTTCAGTTAAATCCACCATTTTTGGGGGCACAGAATCTTCAGATTAAAGCAACTTGGAAAAATTGTGGCTCCTATTTTGCTTGGACAGCATATAATTCCTGCTCATGGAATTCATCTCCAAGAGAAAGAAAGTTTACAGACTGCGCTAGCTTATTCTTTTCCTCATCTGAAAACAGGGGGAAATCAAAAAAAAAGAAAAAAAAAAAAGAAGGAAGATACACATAATAAATTCATTAGTGATGAATGAATTTTCAATAGGTGGTGTAAAGCTTTATTAAATTGACTACGCCATAATCAATGCGTTTTCTGTATAGTTCTTTACTTCTTTACATGTGTACAGTGCGTTATTGAACTTTTGACCCACACATGAAAAATCTATAGTTCAGAATCAAACTGATCATTTTTACTGTCGGTTACTTCTGTAAGAGCTAAATCATACGATCCATCGTTTCTACAAAAGGGGCGAAAGATAATAAGATATAATATAACCAATAAACATGAAAACTTTGTTAACCATAACGGTAGTTAACAGAATTTTATCCGACACCGAGCTGCGAGCTTAAGGGTAGGGACTAGTTAAAGTATAAAGCAACTAAAAACCTCGGCATGGTTTGCCAACTTTTGAAGCAATTTTCACATGCAGCCTAGTGTATCAATCCCTCATCTCTACTGTTGAGCCCGGCTTCCCTTTGCCTCCTCCTACGTAATTTGTGCCACCTTGCAAAACATTGTGCCTGACTCCCAAGGTCTAACTTTGAATCTATGCAACTTAATCATTTTCTGCTGCATCATTCCAATTAACAAAAGCATTTTTTTAGCTAGTCTTTGATGAGATAGCTATACTATACACCATAGCTTCCACCAAAACCTATTTCCTGTCGACGGTACAATCACAGTCCGGTTTCTTGTAGATACCGGTGATTCCATCCCCACCGGAGAAGACACTATCCAAAATGAAAACAACCGTCCGCCTAAATGGATCAGGGTGGCATTTCTGTGTACAAATATTATGGTTTTGTCCTTGCATCACTGCCATGGAGAGATAAGGGTATCTTTCTGTGCACAAGTCAAAAATCCACTCTTCCCTTATGTTGCCACTCATTTTGTTATTGCCAAATACAGGCGTAAAATGAATGGGCGGTGCTCATTTCAACCCAAAGAGACTGCTTAACTAATTAGTGCTGGGTGAACTCCAAATCAAAAAGTTAAATCATTGCAAAGATAGACGAGATGGATGTTAATAATCCACAAATGATGAAGCAACAAAACTACCCCCCACTAGCTGTGCCCTCAAAATCTTTCTAAGAAAAACCATTCCATTGACCACAAGGTCAATTCTGAAACGGTTAGACTAGATTCTAAATTCATTGTTATCCCTACCATGCACACAATACTCTTCTAACACCACTTGATTCTTAATTCCTAGAAAAACAAACCCGATGGGTAGGGTCCAAAATAATGGCCCTCTGCCGCTGCTATTCGTGTACAACGGGAATAGATTACTTTGAAATGAAGTTCCTGATGCAAATTGCAAAAAACCTTCCTCCCGGTGACGACTCAGGTCATTCTTCTTATCAGTAGCATCTACAGAGTGCTATCTTCTCCTATATGTGTCAAATCATTACCTGGACTTTTTATGTGTCAATTCACTTCAGCATCATTCTTCTTTGACTAGAAGCAATAGGGAAAAATGTGACCTGCGAAAAGAGTGAAATATTGGTCAGAAGAACGCTACTCACAAATTCAATAAGAAAAAACTTTCTGCAATCATGTCCCAACGGATGAGCAGACATATCTAGAAAATGGCTCCTAATAAGTCTATTTAATTCCTCAACGAACTATGACTTGCAACACAATTCCACTCTAGATCACCATGTTGTACCACCCTAGGGTCTTCCCCCTTTCAAAAAACAGCAATTATTTTCTCCGCCCTATTTATCCTATAATCAAGAGGTGAACACCTTTGATTTCTAAGATACCACAACTTCAATAATATATAAGAAAATTTATCTTCACAAATCACAATTTAGATCTAAAGCGGTGCTCCACATTATTTCAGATTGTACTCCAGCATTACATAACTTTACATGGTTCAGTAATTTAGGCTACACACCATCTAGATCATAAATGTCAATTCAATGTGAAGGAATTACCTTGGCTTTACACAACCATCTGACAATAGTGGAAACTTAACAGTTGAACGGGGAAATAAACATACCTTCAGACTCAGGCCAAGAATCCTCGTACAACATACAGAATACTCAGATTCATGTGATTTTTCAATCCCACCATCTTCATGAAACGTAACATGTATGTCTGCAGAACAGACTACTCAATCCAAAAATTTCCAGCTAAATTTCAACCCCAGCATATCCAAAATAATCAGGAAAGGAATCTATCTCGGCATGGCAATTAATTCACCACTCTTGCATTGTCTAATATCAATAGTCATGTTCGTACTGATGGGTGATCGGATGTCGCAACATTGACGTCTAGGCGTTTCTATCTGCCATGCAAAATAATGATTCAGCGCTCAACAAGAAAATTACTGGAGCACGAAAAAAAAAAGTAGATGATGAAATCCCTGTTTATATTCTCAATCAGAATGGGGAAAAACCTGCTCGATCTCGAAGTCAAACTTCTTTGAGAAAACTCTGATACTGGCTACTTTCTCTACAGCAGTCTTTCGGAAGCAATTCCCAGAATCCTTCTTAATATAGTTGGTCAAATAGAGGTTAGAATAAGAAGAAATGCTATCAAAGAAGAAGATTACAGGCCTGCTGCATCTGTTTCTAGGGAGATCTCTCGTGTTAAACATAAATCGGCTTGAATAAACACTCTGACCCCTCCCCCACGGCTTAAAGGTTCTCTCCAAAGCAAGAAGATCTGGAATATTTCGATTTCCTTCAAACAACTGAATAGCATATCCCCATGAAATTGAAACTGTCAATGAGTTAAAAAGATCATAGCAGACAGTTTGCTGTAACATCCTCGTAGGATCAGCATTCGCAGCTTTGAAAAGATGACCTAGAGCTTGAATCCTCCTCATGCCAGGAAAAATGGGCTCTACAGCATCCATGTGGTGCAGTGACAACAGAGGCGACAATGGATGTGCCACAAGCATTCCAAACACATCTCCTCGAACGTCAATCTGAATACGAACAAGAAATTGTAAAACTGATTACTTTTTTTCGAATCTCAATTAGGAAAGTAAGTTACTATTTTAGCAATTCATTAAAACTTCACACCAAGCCCGTTACTGAAGTTCTATATAGGCTTTCCTTAAGACAAAAAATGACAATAACATCCCAAGGACAGCTTGTTCAGATGCACACGTGCTACCAGACAAAGTTAACACAGCGTAACAGAAGAGAGGAATGACTTCAACGCTCTGCAAATTATTTTTCATTTTTTGCTTTGTAGTTCTTTTTGGGTGTAAATGGAAACAAATCGCATCAGAATCAATGAATAGTTATGTAAAATCAAAAGAACAGCTATTCCTAAAATGCAGTAAAACTTTGCAAAGAGTACATTTTTTATTTTCCTGACTCCGATGGCACCGACCGTTGCCTATATCAATAAATGAGACCAGGGACACAACAATCCCTTTGTAAACAAAAATTTCCTGAGCTCATTATCATATATCTGTATTTATTTTGCGAAACATAACAATTGAATGAGGTATACACTTTTTGTTGAAACTCTGGAGTTGCTTTATGTTCAAAGAACTGCAGAAGGTAACTCCACAAGGTAGTCTTGCAATATTGCTCAATCATAGATTATTGATTACATTCAAAACCGTCATCATTTACAACTGAATCCATCAATATCAGTATAGCCTAGAAGGAAAATTTCTGATCTGATTGCATGCATTCAGTAAAATCAATTATTTGTCACATAGTATTACAGTTGCTACATAAAATTTTTTCTTGAAAAAATCATTCATGAAAAAACACAACAGAACTTGAAAAAAATGCTACTTTTTAACGTAAAGATGAGGAAAAGGAAAACAGTTTTACCTGATGAAAACCAGGCTCGCGAGTCATCTGAACGCCTAACTCAGTCAAGCAAGCAAAAATCCTCTGATCACTCCCATACAAATGAGGATACCTAAACAAACAAGAATCTAATTTACCAGCTAAAACCTTTGCCAATGGCGCACTTAACGCAAAACCGCCCCCTCCAAAAGCCATGTCGAACGAAAATTTCTGATTTTGCTCATAACTTTCTGAGTTAGACCCAATATAGTACCACTTATTATGATCATATTTAGACAAAACACGAACCAAATTGCGAGTGAAAAGTACAGTGTCGTCATCGCAGAAAACGAACCATTTGATATTAGGAGGTGGGTTGGCAAGGGCAAATACATCTTTCACAGTGTAAGCAATGCGGACCGCAGCACGGTTCCCGCGAGGAAAAGTGAAAGGGAAACGGGAAGTGTCGGATGAGAGAAAGATTCGCGGGATCGGGAGCGACGATTTGAAACGGGTCGGGTTTTGATCCAGGAAAAGATACGCATTTGGGGTGGAATTAGGGGAAAACCAGAGTTGGATGTACGGAATGCGGTTGGCGAGGGAGGAGGAAGAGGAAGCGATGGAGAAGGCAAGGTCCGAGTGGGAGAGTGAAACGGCAGTCGTCGGCGGCGGCGGCGGTGGTGGTAGGGGTGGCGGGAGGCTGAAAGGATGGTGGAGGAGTAAAAAGAGGAGTTGGCAAATGAGGACAGCGGAGACGAACAGGAGGATGTCTTTGATTCTAGAGGGCATTTCACGCGCACTATAGAGTCTACAACACACAGTCACACACTGGAATTGGAAAGGAAGAACCCAAAATTAGGAATACAATCTCAGGTGATTTCTGTGTTTGGTCTTAAAACAGAGAAACAGCGAACTAATGAAGCTTATTATGCCGTTTTCAATAATAAACCTTAAAACTTCGAGGGACTGGGGCAGATTACGCATACTGAACTGGTCATATGGGGAAGTAAGCCCATTTTTTGTTACTTTTTTTCGTGTAGTGTATCTGTTTCGGTTTTTTATTTTTATTTTTTATTTTTTTTTCTTTTCCCCTCACTTTTTTTAATGGAACTATAACACATTATATTACTACTAGATGCTTGTCCCGGGCGAATGTTTGGGGTGCCGCCTGTATTTTTAAATTGATTAAATAAAAAATACGAATCATTCTTAAAAGAATAAAAAATCGATTGAAAGGACAGGAAGTGAGTTATTACACATAAATCTATGCCCAGATTTACAACATTTAATTTACAACAGTTAACTTATGCCTGAGTTTACATAAATCATAAACTAATATCTACAACAGTAGAATAAAAAAAAATCATCCTTAAAAAATTAAATTTCTTTCATGACAGCTTATTTTTTCTCTATTGTAGAAGAGATGGATTGATAATTAATGTCAGATTTTAAGTAATTGATTTAAAGGTCCGGGTGTGAGAGAGGAGCGGAATGGAAGAGATCCTTTGAAATTGGGGATTAGAAAGACATTACTGGTGTTTCACTTGATTTAAGAGAATTTCCTTACATTTGATTTTATCAACTAAATATTGTTGTTTTAAGGTATTAGTATATACCTATAATTAAGAGATTTTTATATAGCTATAATTAAGAGATTTATGTATTTATCTATTCCATCTTTTTTTTTCTGATTAGTTAAAGTGTCACATGTCAAAAATGATTTTGTACTGAAAATGGTTTTTGGCGGAAAAATTTCCATTGTGGTGCTGACACATGTCCTTTTTGTTTGTTGCTTTCATTAATTACTATAGATATAATATTTGCGTTATGGATTGATAAACAATGGGGAGAAAAATGACTACAAAAAGTCTTACAAACAAAGGCTTGGTTAAAAATATAAGAGACGAATTCCATAAATTTACTTTGATCACTATTTATATTCTCTCTTGTGATAAGAGTGCATTTTTCACTTACTGAGAAAAATGTCAATTGAAATAAATTTCTAGTTTTTTTTTTTTTTTTGGGTAAATGTCATAACTCATAAGGGCATAACTTCACTCATATCACGTGTGCAGATGGTCTATACATTTGCACAGGCTTTACCTCAAAATCTGTCATGTTTATTTTATTTTATTTTATTTTATTTTTGGATAAAAAGTCATGTTTATTTGATCAAACTCTTTTTTATTTAATTGTTTTTTTTTTTGGGTGGAGTGGGATACTGTATTTGATTAAACTCTCCTAACATTTTGGTCCTGTTTTCGGCCTTGACTTCAATCAGTCCAAAAGGAGTCCATACTTTGTAACAACACAGACACGAAAACAAAATAGGAAAGCACGAAATTTCGCCCAATTACAAGTACAAAATCTTAATCCACCTGATAAAAAGATCATCAAATTCGTTGATGGGCTTCGCATTCCTACTTCGGCCCGGCAAATCCAGAACGCAGGAAACCCTTTCGCTGCTTGGTAGGTTTGTTAATGCATACTACTCAGCTAATCGGATTTGGTCTCGAAGACTTTATCAAAATATAAATATTCTTTCTGTTTTAGAAAAATAATCTACGCACTTTATAAAATTTAAACACTGCAATAAAGTGAATTATATCTCGTTAATGATGCGGTTAATTTGGAATATTCATCTCAATACATTAAGGGCCCTCTAGATAAATTAGATTGATGGATACTACTACACCGACACAATGAGTCTTTTTGGATGAATGGTTCATGGTCAATGAGGAAATTAATAGCTCAAATTGAGACAGATGGCTCGTGGCTTTCATATATGTGAAAGTTTCACCGAAAAATGGTCTTGAAGGATTGAACCAATTACGACAGCCGGAATCTACTATGGGATACTAACATGGGGGAGGTCCTCACCATCTTTTATCTTGGCACAAATTGGTCGTGTCAAGACTTCGATCGATTCATCACATGATTATTTGGACAAACTAAAGATAAGAGCAAAAAATTGCTCAAGGGCGGATGAAACATCACTTGCCTAATCTCTATTCAAATTATCATTAATGGTTGGATTATTTAATTCTATTTTTCGAACAGTTCTCATGGAACAGATGCTACAAGATAATACTATTTCTGTTCTAAAATTATTGTTCGGTTTGAATTTTTTACTTTTAGTTCAGTTTGTACTAAAATAAAAAATCTAAATTGGACAATAATTTCGAGACGGATAGAATAATTCAAACTCTAGAAGAGATGGTAGTGCTATTTGAGTTTGAGTATGAAGTAATTTTTAATGAATAGCTTTTTCTTAGATGAACTTTTCAACCGTTGAGATGATTATAGGGACAGACATATATAATAGATCATGATACAAAAGACAAAGATTTTCAAGAATTACTTGAGTGATATTCATTGTATGGTTATTTTTTAGAGTATTAGATTTTGATGTACAATAGCAACATGTATAGACTCTAATACAGGATGGTATGTATTTACGTATAATCATTCATATTTACATTACACGTTTAGATCGAATTTATCTATTTAAAGTTATGCAGAGACAATTTATATTCATCCACATCATAATGTACTTTTTCCTTGTATCATCTATCACTTAAACTATATTAGTCATTTTTCCCAAATTCGGACTCTAAATATGCAGTTTTATGAATCGAACATGTTGATTTTTTAAAGGGGGAATTTCTCTGTTTCGATCCTTTTCTGAATGGGGTTTTTCAGAATTTTTTTTTTTCTTTCGGTACAAGTTTTTCAGAATATTTTATAATAAATATTTTAGCTCATCATGTCTTTTTATAATTTTAATATAATTTTTTTTACATTTAAAAAAAATCAAAAAATCACACGCACTAACAAACGATATAAGCGAATTGTACTAAAATTTAAAGATAAACTACACCAGGAAATATATATATATATATATATATATATATATATATATAAGTATCTGTGAATTATGAAGGCAAAAGGCAGGGAAGCCAAGAAAAGAAACCAAGGAAAACATAAACGGACATACGGCCAACTCAATTCAAAAAATTTACTCCACAACTTAATGATGATGGTGATTGATAGAAACAAAAATAGATCTTTCATGTGTTTGATTGTGTTATGTAGGTATCTGTTTCTTGGTCATTTTGATACGAACAGAAACGTATGATTGCAAAGCTAGCTTCGGTGTGGCAGCAATAAATTAAAAATCAATCATAGAATGCATTATATCCATTACCTATCCTTTGATTTATATCAATAGTTTTAGTATATCATCAAACAATGACAACATATATACACCATACTCAACCTCTCCAACAGTCCATTAATTAATTTAAAGGTATGATATTGTTTGGTACATTTCGAAGTTTCTTTTCGGGGGTTGGCTTGATATGGGAGAAAGAGCATCGTTCTCCAACCACTAATATCCTTTCTTTCTGTTTTGTCATTTCAGTGGGTGGCAGCCACAATTAGAAAACCATAAACCAGGTATGGGGTTTATGGTTATTGATATTCCCTTTTTTTCTTCTAAAAGAATAGTTTATTTTGTCAAATTCAAAATTATTATTATATGAGATAGATAGAAGAAAATTTATAAGTTAAATGCAATGTATATATTGTTAAAAAGAAATTTGGGTCCGTACTCCTTATCACAATATCAAGTGGTTATTCAATTGATTATGAATGGACCGATGTAATTTTGATGAGTGATATTGACGCGTTGTTATAACACATGAACCAACTAAAACCTCAATTAGAGAAAGACCTTCAGTTTCCTCCATCAATTCAGTTACAAAAGAATAATGCTCGTACGTTTTTGTGTAAGTGTTGGTAACAAGCAATTATATTTGTGGCCCGGACAATTGATTGCAAGTGCGGAAACAGCTTCCCAACTACAAGTCTACAACCACAATTTCCATTGGTAAAGAAGAAAGAAGAAACATATGATCAATCAATAATACACGGAAATGGTTTACCAAAAAACCAAAAAAAAATCAAAGAATAGATACAAACGGGATCATTCTTATTTCTCTCCAGTATTATTTTCTACTTTGGTTGGATAGATACAAAGCTACTAACCCATCCACTATTTCGGTATTTTCCTTGTGAATATTCATTTTGAGACGGAAAAATAATAATAATATGTACACTGATTTTTACTAACATGTAGAAACTGATTCCAGTTGTTTGAAATTCTCTTTTACTAGCCATAATACATCAAGAAGTTTGAATACACAAACAACACACCCTCATGATACAAACAAACCAAACTATGAATGACATCGGAAGAAAAAAAGGTAAAGACATAGGGAGAAAAAAAGAAGAGAAAGAATTCATTTGAACTCAAATCTATCATAACCTTCGGAGCTACAATAGCTTAATAATAAGACCCCTTCTCTGTTTCAATAAGTCATAATAAATTCGATTGAAAATTACCACTATTTGTATCCCTTGGAAGAAGAAGAAAGAAAAAAGAGAAGAAAAATTTCAAAGAAACAGAAAGGGTTCCTTTCGAACATCTCTAGAATCCTCCTCGCTGTCAAGATCGGCACTTGAGATATGACATTGGCTCCTCCTTTCGTTAGTATTCTGATGATGATTATCCTTCAACCTTAGGTCAACAGTCGGAAGTACCACCTCCGATGATGTTCCGATCAGATACCGCTGCGTAAGCCGGTTACAAGTATTGCACAAGAAGCATCTAATGTGCCTTTGTGCCAAGAAATTCGCATCATGTACCCATCTGTCACATTTCAGGCATAAAAATGCATCATCAGCTTGGCAATAAACTCTGGCCGGTGCACTGCACAGTTCACAAAACAGTGGCCGCCGGCCGGCGACTTGATCGTCTTTCGCTGAATCAATGCATAAAGAAAGAGGGCTACCGTGGCTCCTTTGATCTTCGTCTTCTCTTCCTTTGCACATTTTTTTTTTTTTGGGCTTTTTGAGTTTTTAGCTTCAACACAAAATACTTGTAGAAACGAACAATATTGATGAATGATGCAATTTTTCTAAGTTAGTAACAAAGGGGAAAGTTGATAGGGTATTTATAGATGCAATTATGGGCGTTACTTGGAATTTTGCCAGCATGCAGTTTGGAAACAAATATTGGCCGTTGATTTTGTTGTAATGACGAGAATACCACTAGCTAGACAAATGGTCATTATTGCAAAGACACTGATTTTTTGACACATCCTCCTACCAAGTACAGATTTTTTTATTTTTTTTTTTTTTTGTTAATGGTGCAAAAATCTTTATGACAACATTTTTAATGATGCTTTGATTTTTTGTCTAGCTTTTTTATAACGCAGTGCTATGATCCAGAAATTTCTTCTGATTTTCACCAGAGATCAATATAATAAGGTGGCGTCGAATTATTCCAAAAAGACTTATGAGTCGGTATGAATAAGATTTTCATTTTGATATGTATATTTGCATTATAATTGTAAGAAGTCGCAATTACAAATTTAAAACTCTGTGGCATTGAATAGTGAATCAAAACACAAAATATAAAAACATGTACAACAATGTAGTTTGACACTTCCTTGAGCTAAGTTAGTGGGACAGCTTTACACTTCTTCTCCATTTCAAGGAAGTTTCTTTTTCTTTTCCAAGATGGAAACAAAAACTATAAAAGATATAAGAAAGTGTTGAAACTTGAAATCATGCATGCCCAAGAAAAGTAAAAGGGGGTATAGTGTTAATTAGGAGGTTGTTATTCCAACTTTCACTTTAACATTTTTAATCCTCACCAGTTGGAGTACAGAAATTGGGATTAGAACACGATATATTAGTGTTTTGTTCCATTTAATGTAATAATTTGTTGGAATTCTTTTGTTCCACACAAATAGATTTAATAATGTTGACAAATTTGTTGTTCAACTTAACTTGGACCAAACAAAGAAAATAATATGACATAAGAAGAAGAATACATTGTACTATGATTATAAAAACTTGTTAAGATTCTTGAAGGAATGTTATGAGCCATAATTTTTCGTTTCTTCATGAGTGGTTACCAAGTCAATTTGGTGTTACCAAAGAAGATAAGTTGTATGGTCAAGAATTAAAGTTCCAGTTTTATTAGAGGAGCCCACAATCTGTCTAAATAGAGTCCTCTCAAGTCTCAACTCAATATGTTTCACAATCTGGGGTTAGAAATCATTCCCAACTATGATATTTTTTTTAATAAAGCTCCTCCTAGCCTCCCTAGCCCTCTATTATGGAGAAATTTTCTGCTTTTCTTTTGAAATTGAAATGTAGTATAAGCATTAAATGGGCACGTGTAATGAAGATAGTGAAGGAAATGTGACTAATGTCTCTGTCCATATACAAAGGTTTTCTTATTCTTTGTTTTTGTCAATATGATGATGAGGTCTTTCAGTCTCTCTCTCTCTTTGGTATGTGGTTGATAGTTGAAACTTCGAATTATGGAAAGTTCTTCTTCATATGTACCACCAATTTTTTGGCTTTGTTGGCAGGTTGAGGAATACATAATGCATGTATTTCGTTTGTTCAAGAGACTTTGCCAAGTCTTTACAAATTAGGAGGTGAAAACGTGGAAGTTGCACGACATTAATGTGTGTAATGGAGGAGAACTATATACTATATAGGTCATTGTCAACCAAATGGAAGTATGTTTGTGTAAACATACTTCTGTTACACTTCTGTTGACACAATTATTAAAGAACTAAATTACGACGAATTGATTAGTGGCGGTACAGGAGGAGCGAAGTCGACGCATCAAATATATACTACCAAATGCTAATGTTGGTTCAAAGAAACTAAATTTGAAAGAAAACAAAAGTAGATTAGTCCGCTCGTTTATATTCTTTAGGGCAAAGAAATAGAATTACAATCTCAAATAGGTTGAATTCCATGTTTTCGACTGTTTTGTTACAATAAATAATTACAATTTTAATACCAGTTATTTTTTTTTTAAAAAAAGGTGAATCTAAACCGTTAGAACAAAAACGAGTCATCGGTCATTTCTATTTTCATAGAGCATTCTGTTAATTACTAGTGATGTTTGGTCGTGCAATGCGCGACCCTGACCCAATATATCTGTAGATCTTAAAAATATTTGTGTTTGAAAAAAAATATTTTGCATTTGGCCCGATATATTTTAGAAATGTTTGAAGAATTTAGAAATGTTTTATAAGTGTGATCATAGAAATGTTTGTATTTGGCAAAACAAGAAATTGTATTTGGCCCGATACGTTTTAGAAATGTTTGAAAATTTTAGAAATATTTTATAAGTGTTACTTATTAAATATAAATAAACTTGATCAAATATATGTCTTGAAGTAAATGTTAGACAAAATATAAAAGTATCCTAATAAGTTTAAATATTAGTAAGATGATTTATTGATGTTCTCCGTTTGTCGTGCTAAATTAATACTTAGTTTTAGAGATTTATAATAGTTTTGCAGTAAGCTTCCTCCGAAGGGTATACGTTTAATTGTTGGAACTGTTTCTTCCAAAGGTTTATAGGTAGGAAATTATCAAAAATATGATTTTGAAATTGGTTAATTGTTGAAACTGGTTAATCACAAATATGAGAATGAAAATTAATGTGAATTTGCATAGGTTTCAAAATATAGCAAAAAAGAACTCACCTCACCATGGCAAATAAAAAAAAAAAGTAAAAGAGCCATTAAAAATTGAGAAATTATTTTTTTTCCTGCAGGTAAAAATGATGTATAAAACACAAATAAACGTAGAAACATGATTTCTTCCTCTCCACCTCAAATTCATAAAAGGTTTCCCCATAAATTAGTTAGAAGAAGCGACCTGAACTATTTATATGATGAGGAATTCAAAAAAGTCCAAAAACCAAATCAGAAAACGTATAATCTTGAAAACCCGAACGCAAAAAAAAAAAAAAAAGCGCTTCATTTGCAAAAAAAAAAATAATAATAATAATTAGTCAACTGGGAGTATGAAAGAAAATCAAAAACAATTAAACAAAGAAAAACACAATTCATAACTGACCAAATACGAAAAAAAACTGAGACTCCATAATTAAAAAAAAGAAAACCACTCTAATTGAATGAAACATAAAAAAGAAATTAAAAAAACACACTTTGTAACAAAAAACCAATTAATCAATTCAATCCAAACAGAACTAAAATCATACAAAAATTCTAAGCATCATATTACCTAGCAACGGCTATAATAGCTGTAACGGGTGGACGCATAAAAATAATAGTAATAACACTATTCTTGAACAAGAAAAATAAAAAATAATAAAAGCCGTACAAATGATCTGTGGATATAAAATCATTCAAATTTTAATATTTGTAATGGCACCACCACAACGGCCGAAGTAAGATCAATGAGAAATTTTTTTTTTTTCCTTTGTGTTTATATAGAGAGGTAAAGAGAATATTTTTTGAAATCGAAATTTTATTCGATTCGAATGTAGTTGATCATCACTAACGAAAAGATTGAACATGCTAATAGAAAAGGAGTATATTTCACCACATATTCTCAATTGATGATTGATGAGGAATTTGTTTTGTATTTTTTTTCATTGTGGAGAAGGGATTGATTAGCGAGTCGATTATCGTAGAGATGGGGATGATGATTTGAGTTTTTTATGAAGCCGTGATTTTTATTTTTTTGCCGAAAATAGGAGGTGGATGTGGATTTGGACTGCGTTTGCCTTTTAAGTCTAGGAAACTGATGTGTAAATAAAAATTTATTTTAAAAATATGATGTGGAAATGTCACATGGCAAATGGTAACGTTTTCTCTTAAATGAGGTTTTTGTTTCTAATATAGTAAGAAATTAGAATAGTTGAACAAACTTACTAAAACATTAGACCGAACGAGTATTCGATAAGGTTGATAGACAATTACTGTGGATTTGTGAATTCGTGATAAAACAGTCTCAATGGGAGGGTTCAGGAAATCGATGTATGATAACACAAGTCAATTCTAAATAATGAAATCCTGAATCCTAATTTTTCCAACTCATGAACTTGAGGAGTCTATAGGATGATCTACAAAATGCCCCCTCCCCCGGCTTGATTCCACCGGATCGGCTATATAATCCACTACAGGGATGGCGAATTTACAAGTTGGACGTTTACCTGTCAATCTTTTGGATTTTCTCTTTCTTCTTCGGATCAATATCATTTTCTTTTTCATGGTCGTTTAATTTTCTAAAAAAAAGAAAACATTATCACTTACATTTACGGCTTATATTTTAATGAAATTCTCTAAAAAAAAATTCGCTCACAAATATTGTCACTTACATTCACGTCTTAATTTAATGATTCATTTTCTTCACTTACCATTTCAGAAAAAAAAAAAACATTTTCTTCACTTAAAGACACTGGGTATGTACTTAAAACGGATCAAATTCAACACATGCATGTGAATCAGGGGCGGAGCCAAGCCCCCTACATATGATGGGGCAAAATTTTTCAAATTTCTAATTTGATATACTTGTCCCTAATATTTTCAATTCAGTTGGGGGAAAAATTGATTTTTTTTTTTAAGAAAAATTTTAAAATTTCAAGGGATTAATAACCAAAAAAAAAAAAATTTCAACTAGAGCAATTGCCCCACTTCCCTTGTATGTAGCTCCGCCCCTGATGTGAATCCTATAATTTCTTTCTCTATGATAAAAATTAGAAAACAAATCAACAAGTGAGCACTTCCCTTTCTTTTGTTCTTACTTCTTAGGATCATGTCGGACGTTCCTTTAACTCTACAACCCAGCTGGGTAGTCCTCTCTCTTTTCATTTGTAGAACAAACTATGCTCCCTTAATAATGTAAACAAAAGAACTGTATTTCCTTTCAAAATCCAAAATTATTGTCTATTTTAAAATTTCATTTCAAATTTAATTTATAGAACAAGTGAGATTTTATATGAAACAATCATTTTCGGTATGATTGGAATATTTTAGATCAAATTTGGGACATATACATCATCAACTTTCTTCCCTCCATTTTTTTTCGGGATGGTGAAACTGTTTAGTTTCGCTTGTAGTGTTGACTTTGGGAGAATATAATAAACTAGATCATCCACCAGATTTAATTAAACCGTGCTTTATGCATTACATAATGGATGTTTCACATACATGTAATGCCACAATTCTAGGTTTCCACTAGGGCTGGTCTTTTTAAATCGTGGTTTGGGTCGACCCGACGACTTGACCCGACCCGAAATCGAACTGAAATTAGAATTTCGGTTTGGATCTGTTCAAATCGAAGATTTAAAAGCTGGAACGGTTTGGATCAGTTCGGGTCAAAGAATATCCAAATTGAACTGAAAAAATCCAAAACCAAAAAGTAAATAATTATATTTTAATAATCTCGTCGTTGACCGCCGCTATCACCTTTGTCCACTGCCGCCGATCGATGTCGGCGACAACTTCCGGCGACTTTGCCTGAAATTTTTTTTTTCCGGCGGCCGGTGACCGTCTCCGGTTTGCTGACATCATCGTCACTTTTGATGATGTCATCACTAGCAAAATAGTTCATTTCGGATCAATTCGATTTAGGCCCGAAACTTAATCCGAACCGAACGAAACCGAAATCATTTCTGATTCAAAAGAAATTGACCCGTTTCCAAACCGAACCAAAATAACGGTTCAGTTCGGATCGGTTTGGTTCGGGTCGGTTTTCTTCAAAAGAACAGCCCTAGTTTCCACCTCGTCTTTTGTATAGAAAATATGTTTATTCTTCTCCACTTCTTCAAGAGGGAAAGGAAAAAAAAGTAACAAATTTTCTCATCTATAATTAAGTATGTGTACAAAAAAAGTATTTTTTTTAGTAATGATAGAAACAGTGACAAATTATAGTGAAATAGAATAGTGACTAATGAAAAGACAAATACACCATTCTCACTAAATATGTGTACTTATTAATTAGGGGTAAAAATGTAATGTTTAGGGAAAAATAAAATTTTAACGGGAAAGTGACAAAAAACTATGACCAAGAATACTCCACATCACTCACTATCTTTTTGCACTATTTTTTCTCTCTATACATATCATCTTCCTTTTTTTTTTTTTTTTCCCCTCGAAGGACAAGGATGATGCACAATTTTCCACTTAACTTTTCAGTTCATCAGTTGCATCTTAGGTCCCTGGGGGCCCTAATCATTTGAGACCACACTTCCTGGAGAGATATTTTATATGACCCCCAAAAAAAAAAAATAGTCTTCAACCTGTTACACTTGATACAACAATCATGGACAAAAGGCTGTATGATGCAGCAATCCGAGGTGATTCTGCAGTTCTTTCTCAGTTGCTAGAAGAAGACCCGTATCTTTTCGACCGAACTTATTTAAATTGTGATGATATGTTTAATTTGCTTCACATTAGTGCAATGCTTGGCCATGAAGATTTCGCACAAGCGATTCTACAAATGAATTATTCCGCTTCCTCTTATGATATGTGCTTTGCTCGCGATCGAGACGGCAGAAACCCGGTACATCTTGCTGCCATCCACGGTAAATTGAACTTCTTGGAGTTGATAAGACATCATGATGGGTTGATGCAAGCAGCTCTAGAGAAGGCGGATGGGGGAGGAACCGTTTTACATTTGTGTGTCAAACACAATCAGCTGGAGGCTCTGAAGTTACTCTTGCAGATTTTCATCGATGGAAATTTTGTAGGTGCCAAAAATGAAGATGGTATGAACATATTACATCTGGCTTTAGAGAATAACCAAAACCAGGTACACTCTGCTACTTTGCCATACTAGCTTCCTTCTAATAATTTTCTGATTTCTATCTAGCTAATTATTAGAGTCTTTGTTATTCCACTAAGAACCTAATTCATTGTGTTTAATTAAGATAATAGAGTCTCTGTTCCATTTCGAAAATCCAAACCCCTACTGACTAAAATATAGGATCATTAGGTCTCTCCACTGGTGATCAAGTTGGTTTTAAGTAGTAATTCAAGTTTGTTCAATAATATTCCTAGAAGTATAGATTAAAGTTGTAAGTAATCCATTTATTTAAGTTTCTTAAGCTTTTGATATGCACAAAGAATAAAAACGAATGCAGAGGAGACGGGAAATCATAGCTTATTTGATAGAAAACACACGCGGAATCATCAACCTGAAGAATGCAAAGGGAAAAACCGCATTGGATCTTTATCGAGCGCAACACCACGCTGATTATAGAATTGAACACGCATTTTCGAGGTCTAGAGCGATCCGCAGCGATCCCTTTCTGGGAAACATGGTGAACAATATAGACAAGAACAAGAGTGCAATAATGGTGGTAGCTTCAATAATCGCAACCATGGCATTTCAGGCGATGGTGAACCCACCAGGAGGGTTTTGGCAGGACGACTTATTGGAAGGACCTCGTCCGCATTTGGCCGGACAAAGTGTGATAGCACAAACTCATCCACTGTATTACAAGATCCTGATCAGGACTAATTCGGCGGCATTTATATCGTCGTTGTCGACGATTACTCTGCTTCTGGTCAGCGGGCTGGTCAGAAGTCCAAAAACTCAGTACTTTGTTTTGGTGCTTGAGTTTATCGCAATTTGGATGTCGGGGGTTTGCATTTCTCTGGCTTGTGGTTACACATATATGGTTGTGGTTCCGGAATCACTGATATGGCGACCCAGCTCCAAGGTAGCCTTTATATCCATTCTGCTATATTGGATTCTGCTTCCATTTGTCTGTATCGCTGTTTTATATATTTTCGACTTTCTCATGCGGCGGAGATCGGCGGAGGCTTACCAATTGGACTAAATCATATCAGTTTACTTTCCTGGTATTTTTCCCCAAGTGTTATAGTATTAATCAATTTATTTTTTGAGATAGGCATCTGTTACTGTCTTAGAGGAAATTTAATTGGAGAAGAAAATAGCAGTATTAGGAGAGATTCTATTCCCGTCTTATTCAACTTTTTCATACTGTATTCCTTCGAATTTTCATTACAAGATAGAGTAAAAATAAAAACTTCAAATGGGCAATTAGTTTTAGAACAAGATGAGTAATTTTTTATTTTTTATTTTAATAATGTGCGCACTCCATTCACATCCTCACAATTTTTTTTTTTTTTGGTACAATTAAAAATCTAAACTTACATTTTGTGAATGAAAACTCCCGACCAACTCATGTTATCACCACATAAATAAGATCAAGCGTAACAAGAAAAATTCCAACCTTTCTATTCTGGGTACAATGCATGACATCCATATTTCAAATAATACCACAACACCATTCTTCAAAGACTCCTTGGGACTATAGAGCCCAAAGTCGTCTCATCATCTATTGCTGCAATACCATTAGACTATTATCACTTTGCCACCTAGCTAACGGATCATCTGGAAAATGATTCGCCCGCCTGCTGGTTTGATTAGCATCGACCATCAGATGGTCTACATTATCGAACTCATCTGGGCTGTACACAATCACAATCACATCCTCACAATTTATTTAATGGTGTTAATTTTGTACTCAGAAATTTGTGTTTAAGAGTGTACACATTATTCTACTGATAGCATTTTAAAGATTTTTGTTTTTAAAAAAATTCTCTGTTACTTTGGCCATGGGTATGGAGCAACCTTAAATACTTTAGCCAGTTATTTTACTTATTTAGGTGCCTACAATTCAACAAGTGGGATTAGTCTGTTGTTGACAGTGGACACCCTACAAATATGAAAAAAAAAAAAATCTCTCTTACGGTGGAGAATGGATAAGGGATTAATTATATGGCTCGTATACAACCAGCACTAAATACAAGTGCTAAAACGCACCTGACCAAATTCAGGGTGTTCAGAATATTCAAAACTTGATATGGCATCTAATTGTATTAAAAATACTTGCAAGAAAAATTTTACCTTTGAAAGATATCTTGCTTAAATTTGGATTAGTCGGTGGTAGCCTTTTTGAACGCGGAATATCATAAAAATAACGGCACTAAAATAGTATTTGAGTGATTGTCTACTTGTCTTATTTGAAAGACAACAAAGACGATGGATGGCCGTATTCATAATAAGTCGATAGCCATTATTGATCATTCATAATCAATTCCCTCATCTTTCAGTGGACAAGCTTACAGACCATACCACATAGTTCTATACATTTCTTTCCAAAAAGAGTAATTAACAAGCTAGTAAGCACCTCGGGTCTTCTTTGTTGAGGTGGTTTAGTGATGGCAGCTAGGAATAAAATAAACGAAGTAGATTAGGGTTTAATTATATGGGTACTTTAAGTAATTTCAATAGTTGATTAGGGTTTATTTTTATGCCTTCTTTTCTATTCAAGAGGATTTGGTTGTCTCCATGTAATCTGTTGGTTTTGATTCATGAAAAATCAAGATTTTGCCTCAAACCTAGTTTTGGTGCTCCATTTGTTGGATCAAAGGTCGTAAATTAGTAGATTAGTTTTAATTTGTTCTATGTGTTGTTGAATTAAAACTAGTGTTGATTTAGATTTTCATAATTCGACTGACTGAATAATCGTAAACCTAGATTAATTCCGATTGTTAGGCTTCTGCCTGTATTCCGCCGAAGGTGGAGGCGGATAAAGCTGCACCAATATTTGATTGGAGTGAAGAAAACATTGATTGCAGTTATCCACCAATATTTGATGTCTATCCGGATGAGAAGGAAGAAGATATCACCTCTAGTCCTTATTCTTTTTGCACAGTTTTGAACGATGTCGCAGCAGAAGCATGAAGACCAAGTCGAAGTCTTTCATATAGGTGTTGTGTCACCCTCAATCTTGGATGATTTTACTTACTATGCCATTTGATCGGGGAAAATCTTCACCCAAAATTGGAGGATGAATTTTCTCCAACCCGAGAGAATGATGGCAGCTAGGAATAAAATAAGTGAAGTAGATTAGTGTTTAATCATATGAGTATTTTAGTAATTTCAATAGTTGATTCGGGTTTATTTTTATGCCTTCTTTTCTGTTTAAGAGGATTTGGCTGTCTCGATGTAATCGGTTGATTTTGATTAATAAAAAAACGAGATTTTGTCTCAAACCTAGTTTCAGTGCTCTATTTGTTGGATCAAGGCCGTAAATTAGTAGACTAGTTTTAATTTGTTCCATGTATTGGTGAATTAAAATTAGTGTTGATTTTAGGTTTTCGATAATTCGGTTGACTAATTCCAATTGATAGGCTTCCGCCTCATTTAAGTTCCCAATCAAGTTTCTCATCCCAGTAAATATCATAGGAGTGGTAAATATGGCCTTGATTTGTACCTTTTAGACAACACTATACACTTGTATACGTCTTCACTCGCCTTTTGAATTTCTCTTCCTTAAACTTGTCCGTGAATCCTTTGAATGCTTCTTCCATAGATAAAGAACTGAAGAACCTTGATATCTCTGTATGCTGAATATACAGTCGTATACATTTCTTCAGAACTGAATTTCGGAAATCTGATCATACCTGTCGAACTTGTATCTTTTGAAACTTCACAACCACGCGATCCGTCTCGACAAAGTTCGACATCAAGCCATGAATGTTTCACATTCTGAGGCATAGACGTGTTATAATCGAACAACGAACGAATACTCCCGAATTCCAATTGGTGGCCCGAATTCATCCTCTGGTAGTTGTTTCAGCAATGCATTTATCTCAAACACATGATCCAATGGACAGATAATCACGGTTACCACGTCATTGTGCCGGGGAAGGATTCGGCTATGCCGGAACCAAAACCGATCCGACCTGCATCATGTTGGAGCGTTATCAATGTGCGATTCAGCAATGAAGCCACAGCAAGAGCAGTCCTCATCCCATTTCTCATTCCATTCCTCTGCCAGCTTTTCCGCGGAATCTCCATCGGTCGTCTGTGAATTATGCCTATGTTATATCCAGTGTCAACTTGTTCCTAGCGCTCTAAACTTTCATCAATAATCGTTGGCATAAGCTGATCTGCAGAGTTTAAGACATCTGCTTCTGGAAAACGGGATAGATATGGTGAGGGAATCTTTAACTAAACCATATCCGTGTCGCACATGAATGTAATTTTTTAGAAACTTACAACAAGAAAAATAAATTTGTCTCTCTCTCCTCCAAAAATTGTATTGGTAATACAATCTAGATTATACATGCAAATCACAAGAACAGAAAACACACACACTTTAATATCATATATTATACACGGAACGACAAAAAGAAAATTTTGACACCATAACATACCTTTGTCTCGATGTCCATATACCAACTTCAAAACGATCAATGAAAAACCAAAGGAATTCATCACAAAATGGTCTCATATAAACTGAAATCAAATAAGTAATAATATGAAATCAGCATCTCCAAATTATATATAATAGTAAACAAATTTTTTAGAAAATGTATAATTACCAAAAAATCGAGTGTCCGTATGACTTGCCAAATGTCAAAACTGATATAAATTATCCCTCTCTCGGACCATATCCACGAGGAGTCCAATAAGATCAAGGACCAACAAAATTTTTTTGAAATCCCTTTACACTTCCTATTATCTATATCAGATGGTTTTTGTTAAATCTAATCTTGATCTTCCAACTCTTCCTGGAGGCTTGCTAGTCTGCTTCATAACTTATTTTCCCAGACAATGAATAGTTTTTCAATCCATTACCTCTCACCCTAGGAACAGAGCATATTTTATTGTACTCTTTCGAAAAAATAATTTATTTCAAAGAAAGATCGCATTCTTTCACATACTCCTACGTCAATATTATAGTACCGTTGTCCTAGATACGGAAGATGATATACACAGAAATTAATCTTAAACATGGGGAAGATAGACAATTTCCTATTCCTTTGCTGTATGAAAGAATCGAGCACGTATTGCTCTAAACAGCCATAAGGGTTCCAATCAATTTTTTCCTGCCACATAATAAGGTTAATTTTCAATTCCAATGTTCAAACCAAATACAAAAAGAATTAAAATTATATAGATAGAGAACTTACTCTACTTATCAAACTAAAAACATTTTGAAAAGATTCTCGCTCAATATCATATTTCCGAGTATTTCCCATTACTTTTGCAACCTTCTCAGCCCAATAACCAACTAGTGGTAATTTTATCGCATCCTGTTCATGTTTTATATCAAGCCAATCTCTCAACTTCGATATGAGCTCCAATGTAAAAACCTAGAGAACATGAAATATAATACAAAAAATGACAGATGACTTAAATGTACTGATAACATTCGTAATAAATACATTTTAAGACAAACCCTTCCGCGGAAGAAAAAAAAAATTCTTACAAGTTCCACTTTAAAAGTTATTGATTCGCCATTAATAAGTTTAATATTATTATGTATGGGAGATTGTATTGAACTTAAAATTATTTTGCTTGATATGAAATATACATGTAAGTTTTCCCTATACATATCACTATTGGGTTAAAAAATAACACGAAAGGGGAATGACTATATATATATATATATAGTCTAGTGAATGGTTCATTTATTTATGGTTTAAACAGTGGAAAAATATTAACTTAAATATAACAATATTATATATATATATATATATATATATATATATATATAGTCTAGTGAATGGTTCATTTATTTATGGTTTAAACAGTGGAAAAATATCAACTTAAATATAACAATTTATTATTACAACTCCATCAATTTTCATATTATCAAGAAGAAAAAATCACCGTTTTATTAGTCGAAGACTAACACACATTACAACGAACAGTGTGTCAATGTGGCCTCCAATTAAGGCGTCCCACTAAAATAATGAACGCAGGGAACCAAGCAAAAAAAAATATTTTTGTCCTTACTACAGTTAATCTGTAAGCATATGTGACGTTTATCTAAATTGTCATATTTAATATCATCTGGGAGTTTTCAGTTGAAATGCATAAAAGATTAGAAAGTGGAACTTCAAGGTTAGCTAAACCGAATGAAAGGCAGTGCATAGTCTCATTCCCCAAATAGTAAGAACTCATGACTTGCTACTGATATGGCAACAGAGTTATTCTCAGATCTCTCTAGCTTAAAACTTTCAGTATCATTCCATAGC